TGTCCGATTGGATGCGATAGTGAATGAATGTGAAGACCCGTTGGCATACGGGACAGGAGGCCATGGCTGGGGTGTCGGTGTGTGTACTGCAGTCGTGGGTCCAGTTGTAGAGACATTCAAAGCAGAACTGGTGGCCACAGGTCTCGATGCGACACTTGTCCGTAATGTCTTGGGAACAAATGGGACACTTGTTGTCCTCAGTGGCACTAACTCTGCGTGCAGTCGATGTCATGTATGCGCTCTGCAAGTGATTCTTACAAACAATTTTGTAAACTTGGATTAAAGGGATTGTAATTTTTTTTTGAACAACTTTCCAACGGTTTTTAAATGCATTTTTAATTGTTTAAAATTTTATTTAAATGATAGCATAGATTTAATTGTGGATCAGTGCAAAGGGCACTCAAAGTTCTGTTGTTTGGTTTATCCGTTAGTTTGTGAAAAATATTTCTATCTTTAGATAAAACTTTGAATAAACGGTTAGATTTTTATTGATTTAAAAATTTAAAATACAAAAACATTTCAACAATATATAGAATTTGAGATTTATTTAGATTATGTGAGTTTTCTATTGAATTATTAATTCATTTGTTTGCTGAGAGTTTGCTTATTGGACGAAGACTTCTCACCCATTGAATTCTTTGCGAAAAGAATGTATAACACAATGACGGCTAATATGACACAAACCACAATAAACCCACAAATCAGTATCAAAACCAGTGATGAGGTCTTGAATATCGATGACGTGCTGTCATAACATCCAACCCATTGACCTATACTTTGATCGAAACATTTGTCTCTAATCTCACGAGTGATGAGATTTATGTCACAAATCCTGTCACCGGATATCAAATACATGTAACCCTTGTATACAAATCCCGCGGACGTGTGTTTCAAGAAGTCCGCTGTTGTCCAGTCTTGGGGAACAGCGATATCGATCTGATCCCCTAGGGGTGGTCTCTGACCAGTTTCTTTCGTAGAGTTATATCTCTGGATATGTATGGGCCGGGCGGTCAGGTCCCACGTACTGTAGGAGCTCTGATGGCCGGACCTATCGATGTCATAGTAAAGCTGATGTCCAGTGATTTGGATGAAACTACTCTCTAGATAGAGGGATCTGTTGTGAGACCACAGACCCCACTCCTTGTCCTTTGCCTCCTATATGTGTCAATAGGTTTGAGAAATGAGTTAAAATTTTCTATAAGTCTTATGAATTAGACATACATTTCCTAAGACTAGGGATTCGCCGAAATTATTCGTAAAGAGGTATTTAATGGGACCCGAAATAGGACTCCCTTTTGCCCATTCAGTCAATGGTTGCGATTGTTTGAGACGATAGGTATGGCTGTTTTGCTGGGAACTGACTGTCAATTGATATACCGTTTGATTGGAGAACAAAGTGATGATATCTTCACCAGAATCCCAGTATATGTCAACAAATGCAGAATCGATGGTAAGCTTTGGATCACACATTGGATTCTGTGATGCACTCATTGCCAGCACTTGTAGTGAAAGTATCGTTAATCGCAAACTTATAGCCATTGGTGAGTGGATTGGGATTAAGATTTATATTAATAAAATTGATATCAAATATAACCGTTTGGATAGTGAAGTGAAAATAAAGTTTTGATTTGAATGTGTTTTCAACAATAGTTTAATGAACGACTTTATTATTCAAATCAAACAAATTTTATTTCATTTTTACTTACTCGTTAGGATTCCGTCAAAAATATTTTAATTTCCAAATCTAATTTAAAAAGTTTTCCATTCAATTCCTATAGAAAATTATGCTTAACTAGTTATATTCTAAATAAACTATCGATATACATGTATTTTTTACACATAACTAAATTAACAGTAACTTAATTACTACATATAATAATTTGAAATAATAATTAAAAATTAAAAAGTTTTGTTTTATAACTTAGCAATTGAATGGCAATGAATGACATCAGTAGTGTTAAGGCAACCATTGGAAAGCTTCGTACAGTATATGCCTAACAAAAAAAGTTTTGTCAAAACTTTTCAATGGGTCAGAGAATGAGTCCATCAGTGAGAGAGTGAAAAGGGTTCACAAGTGTACCCAAAGGTCAACAGATAGAGTAGCCTTTAATAGCCTTCGCACCAAACCTACCAAACCATACATACAGTTCCCAAACACATGTCTTCCCACAAGAGGTGAACAGCTATTTATACTGTATGTGTTTTCATTTTTGTCAAATCAAACATCAATACCAATATGTAATTGAATTGTGAACTCCAATTGAGTGCTAAAACTTGGGCCACAACTCAGACAATCAGTTGACAAAAATCACCTCAAAATCAGTGACCATTTTCTGGACTAACAAAACACATAAAAAACAAAATGAAATTCCCAGTGGAAGCGCTGATCCCTTTCCTACTAGCGTTGATCCCTTTGCTGGTAGGTGTGGTGCCGTGCAATGGGCTCAACGACACGGAGGCCACGTTTATGGCGCTGGAGAAGGCGTCGGCACTACTGGAGCCGCCCAAAGAGCTCTACCAACAGATCACTGTAGACCTGGCGGTNCTGGTAGGTGTGGTGCCGTGCAATGGGCTCAACGACACGGAGGCCACGTTTATGGCGCTGGAGAAGGCGTCGGCACTACTGGAGCCGCCCAAAGAGCTCTACCAACAGATCACTGTAGACCTGGCGGTCATCCGGGCCTCCTATCCCAACGTGTCGGACATCAGGTACCAGTCCAATTGGGTGCCCGGCAAACTGCTGTGCAATAACATCCCGGAGCCGGCTGTCAAAAAGCTAAACTCTAGTGAATTCGGTCCCATCCGGGAGGACCGCACCGGCCACTACACGGCCCTCACGTTCGCCAAGCCCTACAACACGCCGGTGCTCATCAACAAACTCAAGGAGAACGACCTGCTGGACGATGGGTACGAGTGCCGGGTGGACGGCATCATCGACGGCAAGTCCAACATCATCTACAACTACGACAAGACATACACTTTCCATAAGGGTCTGGACGACTGTTCCGTCACGTGTGTGGACAAGCATTACTGGACTTTTTCGGTCAGAAACGGTACGGCACTCCTCATCAAAGAGTCCGAGACATAAGGACTTCCCGCGGCATCCCTTTCCCCTCCACTCTTCACGTCTTGACCCGTTTCAATAAAAGCCAAACAATTATTTAATTTGTATGAAAACTCTTTATAAAACAAATCATTTGATTTGATTAGCGACTCATTTCTGTTTGATAACACAATTTAAAGACTAATTTATTATTAAATTTCACTATAATTTGAATAAAAACGCGAATCAAATGACACGATACTCTATGTGAGACTCTTTGAGAGCAGCGCCTACAGCCTAACGACAACCACACGACTATATCTCGAAGGGGTTCTTCATGTCTCTGATACCCATCACCCGCTTATCCACTTCCCTGAGATCCCAGCGCACCTTCTCATCCCTGTGGCGGGGGTTTCGGTAGCGACTCTTGTCGGGCGACACCTCCATCTCGTCGGCCGGCATGCCATCTGACATGAGTCGACTGAACATCAGGTTATTGCGTTCCCGTGTCTCCCGCTCCTCAAGAGTCGAGTGGGTGCCGAGTCGGTCGCCCCACCTCTGCGGGGCGTCACTGAACCGGTCCAACAGGTAGACCCCGAAGGACACGGCCACCACGAATAGAAACGATGCCCTATTGACGGGTTCCATGTGGCCTACCATTGGATCAGATCATAGGTTAGACATCGCGAGAGAGAGAGAGACTACACTCGACAGACACAACATACCGGTGCCTCTGGTTTGCCAGTACTTCGGCTTCTTATGGTAACTGTTGGGCGGCAGCGGTGGCGGCGGAATCGGTGGCTTATAGCCCTCCGGAGGGTTAGTGCCAAAGACATGGCGGTAGACGTCTTCGGGCACATCGGGTGATCTCTGATGGATAATCACTTTTGGCGGATCCGCTGGTGGCATAGAGGTGTCGGACTCCCAGAATGGGTCGTAACCCTCACCCCGTCCATCACTACCATCGCCTCGTCTTGAGTTCATTGTCAGTGCGATGATAATCACCGTCCGATCACACCATCGATGTCTTCACGTGAAAACCAAACACATGACGCTATTTATGAGCAAAATGTCTGCAAATTGTCTACAAATTCGTTCATAAATGTTGTGCCAAAAGGTGTGAGTATTTTGGGGGGAATTTGCATTGATTTCTACGTTAACTTACATTTGGGGGCACTTTATGTGCATTACTTTATTTATTACAATAAATACAAACATTTTATCACTCAAATATCAATGATTTCAAAAACGGTGCAATTCACGTGCGAAATATTGATACCTTTATACATCGAACAAATGT